GAACAGAAAACGTCTTCGTCTATTTTATACTTCAGTTATGCTCGCTTTTTAATGAATTCTTACAATTATTATCTTATTGTACATTATTATAAAGTTATATTCTGTTCCTTATTCTTTGTCTTACTTTTATGCTTCATCGTATCTCCGCCCTAAATCTGAATCGAGAATTCGTTCACGGGAATTCGTTTGCATCCAGATAAGTACACGTGCATCCCAGACTATTTGGAGTATCGATTTTCATTTGGCAACCGATCCGTGTAACCGACAATCTTCGCTTAGTTGATGCAAATGAATTTACGCGGTGGATTGGGCGCTTCGAATTGGAACTCGATTCTCGGACGTGGTGCATTCTGACGTCTGGGATTTTGCATGCACGAGCACGTCGCTTCCCAGAATTCGGAACATTAATTTACGGGCATCGAATTCGTCTCAGCATTACAATCACGTCATGTAAAAATAAATTCAAAGCTGATCCTCACAGATTACACTATTATCATATTATTATTTCTTCTTAGAGCTAAGAATATCCTTTTTTGTTTAGTCAAGTCTCATTTATTTCATAGCGAGATGCACACTACTTCGGTTGTAGCAAAAACTTTGTTTGGATAAAATAGTTGTATTTTTTGTTACAATAGCCGTTACCTTCGTATTTATATATTTATATATGTATATTATTTATATTTATATTTATATATATATGTATCTATATCGTTATGGTATCTATTAGGGTAGGTTGTGCTTCTTGATATTCGCTAATAGTATTGTTAAACTTTAAAAAGCTTAGATTGTAATGATATTATCAATTGGTGCTTGCATAGAAGCATCTCTTCATTATACGTGTCTTATAATGTATATGTGTGCGTATACATGTGTGTGTGTGTGTGTGTGTGTGTGTGTGTGTGTTGTCTTTGTATTTTTATATGTATATATGCACATGAGAGGAGATTCGCATGATGCGCGTGTGTGTGTCTATAAATACTCATAGCGATCTGGCACCATCTTTTTTCTGAATCTCTATCTTCGGGCGTCCACTCTGCGTCGTGTCGGTTTGCAATTTCTTTCAAATGGATTTCGTCAAGCTTGTCGCTCTAATTCCGTTTCTCACACTCTCCCTCTCTCTCTCTCTCTCTCTCTATCTCTCTCTTTGAAATTTGCACGGCCCCACGAGAAGTGAAGAACACGTTCAAATAATTCCACGGGAGAATCGAATCATCTACGCGATCTACGGCTCGCATGGGATATTCAAAAGCAAAAAACGTCCCGATGAAACCGGACATCCTAAGCCGTATCGAAAATCGATGCGGAACAAAAAAACATATCCCTCGAATCCCGCTGCCACGAGACGTAGGTAAGGATTTTCCCTACAATCCATTACCTAATTTCCACGCGTCTCTCGATTGTGAGATGATATAATTGGAGAACGAACGCGATCCAATTGAAAGAAAACCGTGGCAAGTTTGCTGTTCGAGGACGAGCATGCACCACTCTCATGCGATTACGGTCTCGATGGAGAATCAGTCGGAAGGGATGGAAACCCTCCGACTCAATCTATTGCTAACGCTCGGACCGACGTATCTATCCATGGACAAGGAGAATCGTAGACAAGCGTCTAATCCATTGCGATCCGATCCATTCATCTCGTAACCGTATTTCGCGCACGTACGTCACACGAATCTTGTGCACGTGTACCACAGAGCCCTGACAATCATCCGTGAGAAGCGAAATGTCCACTCACGGAGGCGATAATATCATCCTGCAAGCATTGCACAGTTTGGCACTGGCCGGCAACGCAGGCTGATCGCGCTTTCTAATTACGTTTACACGCACGCTTGTATACGAAGGATTTATAGACGCCTCCATGTGTGCACATATGTGGTTTCCGTGGTAACTACCCGGATTAATTCGGATTCGGAACAGCCAAAATCACGAGAAGAATAGAGCACATATTATACATATTAAAGACGCTGCGCGCTTAAATCACATTTTTCCGAATCTAAATTGAAATTTTTCGAGGCTATCTCGGCACAATTTTTGAGATTTTGAGATTTGTAACGCTTTGTGTAGCGCTCTTCAATAATATATTATTACCAAGTAAGCCAGTCTACAAAAAGTCCACAGTATTGGGTGTAAAAAATTATTTTACCGTAAAAGATATACTTTATATAGTTGCTTATGTGTTGAAATGAAATCCTTCATATTATCTCTTATTTATATTGTGTAGTGTTTCATTTCATTCTTTCTTTTAAGAATGCTATCGAAAACTTTTAAGAAGAGAGATCTGCGCATAACGATTAACACGAGACTGTGGCTGCTCATTTCCACTTTGCATCCGTGCACGAGTGGAGTGTGCGGCGCGGCAAAGATTTATCTACGATCTCGCGATAATATCACGATGAACTTTCGCGCATCCTATAAATATCCGCGAGTCTCCTGTTGTTGAGTCAACTACGCCCGACGTCGTTAATAGCTTCCCCCTTTTTTCATATATATATATATGTATATATTATATAAATTTAACCTTCTAAAAATGACAAGAATATATGTGTATGTTTACGTTACTGTAGTGTATAAGTTATGTATATGTACCATAAATAATCGTTATCGTTATTATTTCTTCTTTGTCATTTTAGCATTATTTTGTTTATCATTATTTATATATATATATATGTGTATATTAATACTATATCGTCAATTTGTCAAGCACATATCCTTGTTCCAAGCGCGTCTATCTTCGTCGTACAATTAGCCTTTTTACGTACACACACGTGTACACGCACGATTACATGCGCGCACGTGCGTGAGCCACGTACACCGGGTGTCCGTTAATTGCGCACGAGCGT